CGCTGGTTCGTCGACGCGGCGAAAACGAAGGCCCGCGGGTACGTGTGAAGCCCGTTGCGATGCTGAGGTTGGTGCTGTGGGGGACTGTTCCACAAATGTCAGCGCTGCTCTGCCGCTGACCGCCGGCGTTCCAGCTGCAGCGGCTTTGGCCTTTGTGTTTAGAGGCAGATTCCCAAGAATCTTAGTCGTATTCATTTAATTTTAACTCCTGCTGCTTTGAAATGGGGCTCGGTATTATTATTCTATTTAAAAAAATAGTTGTCCAAAGTTGGTCTTTTCACAAAAAAAGTTTAAACAAAACACGTCTAAAGCCTCTTCTGTGTTTAGTTTGTAGGTAAATGGACATGATCTATTACTCTCTGAAAAAAATTCAATATTTATTTTTCTCTTTCTTCATCAGAAATACCCACCTTATATTTCATCAAGCATCCCTTTCCTTGGACATGCAATTGCATTCGGAAAAAGTCCCATTGAGTTTTTGGAAAGTGCTTATGACAAGGTGTGTTCTCCCACATGACTGGCTGAGCGTATGCGAAAATACCTTTGCGTATCTGTGAAGTTCTCTGTCTGGAGCCTGTTTAAAATGAGTTCATTCTCATTTACCACCTCGAATATGGAATGGAGCGTGCACAGTAGGCTCTGTTTTTTCAGATCTCTTTATGTACATTGCTGTTAGAGAAATGATGTTTTCTGAAATACCTGTTGTAATTCATATTTAAAAGAAATGTGTATTTGGGTAATGCTCATAGCTGCATCACAAGTTTATTAAAAAGCCATTTTCATGATGTTACTTCTTGCCTTAATTGGGAGTTTTTAATCTCAGTCTTTAATAATCCGCGACCTGGCTGGAATTTAGCTGACCACCGCTGTAAGCAGCTTGATGGATTTTAAGGCCCTCTCCAATGTTGAAAGGGCTGGTGTGTAAAACCTCAGTAGGTTTTATACTGTAACAGCCCAGAAGAAAAGGACTAAGGCAGTAGAGCCTTAATTCCCATGAAATAAGATTTGATGCTCCATTTCACATTGTCTAAAATATAAGCTTGAGTCTTAGCTTGGTTATTTTAAAGAAAGCCAACTTTAGTATGTGAAGATCTGCTGGAGATAACCTTTAAAGTCTTACTTGCTCTTAATTACCGGTGCATAACTCCAAATTCAGAATTTTTTGAGACAGTGTTTGTAGATTTCTGGAGGCTGTATGTGCTGTAATCTCGCTGCTTGTTTTTATGATGTAATTGATCTTTTATTTACATTTTTAAACTAAATGGTTTTAAAATGCACAAGATCATGTGTGTTCGTTATAACGTTAGATATCACTTGTAAGTATATTGAGAACACAATTTAAATGTGGTTTATAATATTTATATCTTTCTAAAATCTCTAGATGCTTTTTAGGAGAG